CTTTTGTTTCTTGGCATTCCCACTTGCGAGCCCAAGCAGTAATCTTCCTTGGCCTACCACAGAAGGGATTAAACAAGCATGTAGCCACCCAAAACCTCAGACAAGAGGAAGTGCAGGCTCCAGCTACCTTGAGGTACAGGCAGAGGTACTAAACCTCCACTCTGGCTGGTTCTCGCTCTCCCCAGGGCAGGCACACCAGCCCATCTCAGGTGCAGGGGTCATCACCCCCTCTGTCCTCTTGATGGGAGACAGAGGCCAGGAAGCAGACTAGGACCCTAAAGCATTGCCTCAGTGCCTGATTTTCTCCACAAACCCCCAAATAAGGGCAAAATCGGCAATCCTGATGCAACGCTGTTTCAACAAGCAATAATTAGACAGTCTTCTATTTAGCAGAAATCCTCCACTCCACAGCATGCTCCAAGCAGTCCTTTCAAGCAGTCCTTTCAACATTTTTTTTTTGCAGTTCAGGAGCGCAAAGAAAACAACTTTGCTCTATCATCATGTTGACAGCTAAAGGAAAACACTTCTCAATTGTTCTTTGACTACTGCATGTCTCTATAGAGCATGGGAAGCGGTCTGACCTCATCATTAGGGTTTAGCAATGGCAGTGGCAACACAAGACAGGTATATGTGGAGGGCAAGCAGTCTATGACTAGAGGCTACTCCTATCAGTCACAAGGACAAGCTAAAACTTCAGTGTCCTTCAGAACAAAACCAACACCAAGCTGCCTTCTTCAGGTCACCTTCTCTTTTGAACTCCTCAGCAAAAATTCCAGAAGCCAGAGGAACAACAGAGCCCAGGAGCTGTCTCTAACAAACCAATGCAGCATTAGGATACGACATCCGTAAATCCAGCCTGGACCCTAGACAGCTGGAGCTAAATGCATTTATTCAGCTGCAGTATTTTCTTTTTTTTTAAAATCAGTCTGCAGCAGCAAGTCATCCTGACTGAGCAAAACTAAATAGGCCGCAACATTTAAGCAATCACTTCGATTAGTGGATTACCCAAAGCTATCAGTCCAGGACAGGATGATATATCTCACTGGGAAATACTCTAACATTGGCTGTCCAGAGGTGGTTAGATTTGACCGGGCTTCTTGTCAAAAACATTTACAATGTGTTTGACAAGATGCTGCAGCCCCAAACCACTTTTATTCTGGTGGACTATATCCAGCATAGTGTTGCTCAAACAAATGCATTTATTAAATGTCTGTTGGCTACATTGCTGCAGTTCTTCTATTTTAGAGGTGCAGGCAATAGAATAACAGAATAATTAAAATACTTAAATATGCTGAATTTTAGTTTATACAGTAGAGACAATATTTATTTCTTGTCCATGTAAGCAACCAGCATTTATAAAAGATGGTATCATAGAGCTATACCCAAAAGCAAGTAGTTAGGAATGTCTTATCTTGACAATACTTTACACTTTATTTAAATAAGACATTTCTTATTTTATGTACAAGATTTAAAAAGTAAGAGAATAAAATTGCACTGGTATCACAAAACCCAGAGGCTGTACTACAAATCCCAAACTCTGATCTGGTCCATTACAACATTGTTACACTAACTCCTCCTCCTCCCTCCTCTTTCCATAGCCAGAGGTACTGCAGAAATGGCTGAAGAGAGGACATCCCCTATAAAACCGCTCTGATTGCATCCTTTCTGAGCAACTTCCCAAGACTGATAGATGCCAATTAATCAGTGACAATTCAGTGAACCTTAATCCCACCTCAGCCTGCTCCCCCTTAGGGTCATACTCATACATCCAGCAGAGCAGAACTCTGTGGCATACAAAGACCCTCTGATTCTGTATAAAGAAGCCTGATGTGGCTGATTCTTTAAAAGACAATACCCTCTTCTGTACAGCATCACTCATGGAAACTTCACACCAGTAAAAACCATCAAGATAAGCAAGCGTTTGCTTTTCACTTTCATCCAGTTCTTATACGTTCAGTTCAAGATGCTGTGACTTCAAAGGTTCACACATGCACAAAAAAATGAAAGTGCGAGATCCCATGGCAGACACACTTGTAATAGCATTTACACAGTTAAGGCAGGTAACCACAGCAGCAACAGAGCCTTCATCAGAAGCCAGCATACAGCACACAACAGCACTGCAGCCTTGCATACACATCCTGTTGCTCGCCTACACTATCCGCTACCCTGAGCATGTGTTACCTGTACCAGCTGGATTACAATTAACAAGGGTACCTCAACCGTGCCACTATCACATCTTTATTTTGTTGTGCAAATTAATCAAGACAATTTCTTCCCTGTACTGATTTTGCAGGAGTTGGTGTAAATCCTTGTACCAGTATAAAAGCAAAAGTAAACACTAGCCTTATGTTTCAATCCGCTTTCAGTTTAAAAGGATTGTTTCTGCAGAAGAGCCAAACATCACAGATCCAATGTGCTCAGCAAGCAACAATCTCAGAATACTGGAATACATTTACCCGCTACATATTTTTTGAATTAAGCTAGAAAGTACCTTGAAGAGGAACAGCTGCAACACACCATTAAAAGTTAGAGATGTGATTCAAAAATCTAAAGATTAACCTTTCTTTTCAGAATCCATAAATGACAGTGATGGTGTGAAAGGTGCACAAACACACTTCAGGATTTCTTGGTGTCATTTGGACGTTAAATGACCTATCACAACAGCATAAAGGAAGCTAGAAGGCTTCACCCAATGCATTGCTTGGGAGATCAACTACCAAATACAAAAAAAAATGCAGTCTGAAATGCAGAAAGAGAAGATTTTCATTCACTGGCTGAGAACATTCATGCCTTTTTCCTCCCTTCTGAATTGCAGCCACCATAGCTCTGCAGTAGCTTTCCAGGTTCGTCTTCTCCATAGCCATGTTTTTCTGATGGACAGCACTGCCCCTAAACACAACATGCTGCATTTGTTTTTCTTTGTCTACCATTAAGGCTTTTGGGGGTTTTGTGTGTATTTACAGTAACACATACACATTACAAATGACATGGGTGATTTTAAAGGATTCATCACCAGAGGGGTTGCGAGAGGGACACCCATGAACAAGAAAGACAGGTAAATGCAACAATTACCAATGAAATCTTTCTGTAATCTGTGAGGTGTCTGGTATCTGTTGGACAAAAGCATTGTGGAATAGGTTTGGAGAATACTTCTTGTATTTGACCACCTATAAGCCTGCACTTAGAATCTGAATGCATCAAGATGACCTCTGATTTCTGTGGGGTTCAGTCTGAAGATCAAGCCCAGCTGCGCAGAGCTCACTGTACGGTCTAGCTTATAGTTTACTGCAAGCCTGGCTTTTAGAGACACTAAGCAATTGCAGAATACTTCTGCAGATCAATCCCTTCTGAATTTACCTATGCCAAGCTGAAAGTGTGGATAAAGCAGGCCAAATCTTTTCTTAACTATAATCCGTCACAAAGACAGGGAGGGAAGTTGTTTGTTTCTTGGGTTTGGGGAATGGAAGACAAATGTCAAGACACCAGTAAAACTGGGGAGCTCCTTTCCAAGTGCTGAGAGATTTTGTTCTTCCTGGCAGGCTGAACTCTGTATTTAAAACTGAGCACTAACTTTGGTACCAGACCAGATCTGGTCTGTTCTACACAGAGTAATAAGGGGATATGATAGCTTTTCATATGACTAACGCCTCTATTTAGTTATTTATATGTAACACTTTAAACACATGCAGCATTCACATGCATACACATGACTGCCAGTTCATCTGACAGTGACTTTACTGCACTTCATTTAACATTAATTTAATTCTTTATATTACATATTTAAGGTACTAAGTAAAGAGATCCCTAAGATTTTAAGAAATGTTGTACTGCATCACAAGTGAAATAATAGTCACACTTTCCTCCCTTTCCCTTCCCAAAGAGGAAAGGGTTCATATTATTCCCTTTTGGTTATTTCCAGTGTTGCTAAAAACACTTTGTAAACAGTAAATTGAGGGTTTCTGAACATTGATGAATGGTGTTCACACAAAAATAACATGGAAATAGAAAATAAATTATACAAGAATTAAACCTTCTCATACCGACTCACCATTAAAAGTCATTTAACACGTTTTTAGTTAGTCAAATCTATTCAGTGTTACCATCAACTCTTTTTCACATCTGGTTTCAACTTTACTAGCAGAAAAGAAACACCTTTGCTTTTTACAGACATTTTCTTCCACACTCTAGCCAGTAAGTTGTAATAAAATTAGAAATTCGAGCACATGATATGTTGCCAAAACAAGATGCTATCTTCCCTTCGTTTTCCATTATTAAACACTGGGAGACAGAAAGACAGCTTCATCACAGTATCCTGCAAGGACATCTAGAAGACATGTATCTGAGTCACAGCCAGCTGAAGACAGCCTTGCAATGCAGAAACAAGATCTCTGCGCTTTTGGAAAGAGAGAAAATCTGGAACAGCTCCAGCCCAACAGGGTTGATGGTTATTGTTGTCTGGTTAAGGAATTCTTCAATATCTAATAGTCTCAACTTTAGAAGGCCAGATGGATCCAGAGCATGGAAACACCATGAGAAAAAAAACCCAACAAACTATAGTTCATCTGTTTATCCATTCAAATTCTGTAGTAGCAATAACTCAAAGTGATATTTAAACTGCAAATCCAAGTTTTATACAAAGTTTGCAATCAGGTAAAACCAACCAACCAATCACTACGATGTTGACACAAGAATAACCAAACATAATGATTTCAAGAGCCTCCTATACTATTATGCTAAATCGAAGTCCTCCAAGTACATAAGAGGTTAGTTCCATCTACCTCAAGCTTTTGCATCTTCTCCCATTTTGAATAGGGTGAAACCAACTTAGCAAATGTTGGACTGGTACTGTAG